AATTAATTCTGTTTAAATTTATATTTTAATTCTGCCCAAATTTGAAAACATGTTCTCAGTTGTGAGACTATTATCAAAGTTATCAACAAACAGAATAATTTAATACTATATAATTTATTTAATATATTATATAAATGTTAATACAGTATCAATATCATGCATTTGATAATACTATCGCTATTGCTATTAACTGTAGTTTTTTTGATAATTTATGCAAATAATAGTGACACAGTAAACTTGTCCTTATCTAGTTTAAAATATAACAGAAAAATTATATTATTATTTTATTTTTACAGTATATTGATATGTTGATAACCAGTTACAGTTATCAACTAAGTTAATTTCGATACCATATATATTTACGTATATATTAGCGTTAACGTTAAAGCAAGTTTAAAAAATGAGTAAGATCTGCATTATACTAATTATATGAATTTTGCTTTAACTGGTTATCAACTTGCTTTTTACTCTTCTAAAAATTTGATGACGGTAAGGTAAAAATAAAAAGCCATTTTATCTAGTGATTCCAAAAAAAAGAATGTGCTTACAATATTTTAATCGAGATTCTGGTACCTTTACGAGTGTAGATGACCCAAACAAGTCTGTTCAACACCATTTGAACATGGTTTATCTAACTTTTGGAGGTCTTTGTTTCTTGGCTGCTTCTGGAGCTTATTCTGGCTTATACCTTATTAAAGTATGTTTATGCTAAAATTATTTTTTAAACCATATCGATATAAAATTATTACTTAAAAATTATTATTTAATTACTTAGAGAAATTATATTTCACCTTTAGCAAGTCTCTGGTTAATGCGTATTATCACCATCGAGATACATTATAATAAACATTATGTTACTATTTGCTATTCGTATGTTTAATTTCTTAATAACGCTATTATCACTAAAATTTTTTGCCTCTAATATATTTAAATCCATATTTTTTAGGCATTAGTCTTTATGCTAGAACTTTCAGTTGAACTTTTGATTGAAATGATTTTTTTCTCGGCTGACCTGTAAAATCTATTTTTTTTTTGTTTTATTTGGTTGATTTAATATTATACTAATCACTTTTGATAATTTTATAGCCACAGAGATGTGATTAATATCTGCAAATTGAATTTTTTAATCTTTTGCTTTTCTGTGATACCTACTTTATTGTACAATAACAAGCTTTTGTTAAATCTTGTGTTATTTATAAGAATTGCGATTTCGATAAGTTTTTGTTATTTATCAATTA